AGAATTCTCCTCCCCTGACCCTCCCCAGACCCTCCCCAAGCTTACAATTGGGTTGTGTAAATGTTTGCTTGCTTGATTTTAAGGTCCTTGAATGGCTCTTTGCTCAAGTCATAGAGAGCCTTTGCCGATTTTGTGGCAGTGTTTCTTAAAAAAAAAAAAAAAAACTCTGCCAACCCCCTCCCCTTTTTGCATATTACACAAGCCCTACCTGAAATGTAGTTTAAAATGCGCCTTCAGTATGGATTCGCCTATGTAACAAATAAAACTTTGCAGAATATGCATTCAAAAGAGAATGAAGGAATTGGAGTGGGATAAAGACAGAATATGCAAGTCTCTGGGGTTCGACCTGGGGGTGGCGAGGGCATCGGAAAGGATCATAGTGTTGAAAGCCCCTGAGAGTCTGAAGAATAGCATTCTCTTGCCCACTCAACTAAAGATCTCTTCTTTTATGGGGTGGGAATGCTAGTACAGATCCAAGCCCGTGTCGTCTTCACTTTTGCTCCCAGAGCTCTGCAGTCGTTCCCCAGTGAAATCCGGATTGAGAAGGGCAGAGGAGATGGACAGGACTCATAAGCTGGGGATAAAATTTACCCATATACCAAGATTGGGTACCTTCCAGATGTGCTGGGCCACAACGCCAGCATCTCCAACCCGCATAGCCAAGGCCTGATGGGCAGGTAGAATGACTGGAGGGCATGCACAATTTTTGTAAGGAATCTGACAGGCTTCTAAATCTGAATTCTCTTCTCCTCAGCTTTCAGATTAGAAGTGACCACCTTAAGCAAGCTTCTTTCTTAAAAGCACAGGGGCTCTGCATATTTATGCCAGGAAGGGGTTTGCGTTTGCTGATTCTTTGCCTGAACCTTTAAAAGCAGAGGTGCCTCGCCAGAAGGGGAGATGGCCACCTTGGAAAACGTTAGAATTGCCTTATCCTTCTCTCCTCTCCCCCCTTTTTCATTTATTGTACGAAGTGATTGGAAAGCTTCTTGCTGGCTTTTCCTCCTTTCCCTTTCGGAGTTCTTTTTGTGGTTGACCGCTCACTGAGATTTCTAATTATTGTAAGGCTAGTTTTTATTTTTAGCTCTCTCTGTAGGCCTCCTTGCGCAGCGTCTGTCTCTCTCTCAGGTGAGCTCATGAATCCTGACACATTCAAACCGCACATCTCCCGTCAGAACGCCACCTCCGTCACGGGTCAGCACGCTCCGTCTGAGGGTACTTCCAAGAAGGGCATTTCCTGAGGGGACTGCACCGTGTGTGTGTGTTGACTCCTCACTTTGGACAGGCATTGAACATGAAGCCGAGGTCAGCAGGAAACCTGCATGTTTCTGTTCCTTCCCTCTGGTTCGCTCTTTCAGAGCAGGCCCTACTTGCTCCAGAGTGAATAAAGCGAACAAACGCACAAACGAAGTTTAGCCAGCAGTTTCTGCCTCCGGGTGGAATGAAGATAAGAAGGCACAGAGCTGAGAGTACGCAAATCTCCCATTGTTTTGGAGTGGGGCTCAAGCTGCCTTGGCTTTGCAAATGGGGGCCCACCAGTGTTATTAGCCCAGGTTTTCAAGGGCTGCAGGGCCAGATAACCTCAGTGGCCCCTTTCTGCAGTGAGTTGACCTTCTCGCTAACGTGGTCACCAGTCAGTTGTGTTCCTCGCCCTCTTTTGCCATCATAGCGGCCGCCTGAAGTGGCTGAGTCCACCCTGGCATCTGCTTATCCTCCTTCCTGCCACCTCCGTTGTTTGGGCCAATTGAGCGACAGGTGGAAACCGCATTTTGCAAGAGCAGAGGAGAAGCAGGTCCAGGGGGGTGTGCCAGGGGGCCCCTGCTTGGGTGTGGGTCCTTAGCAGCTGTCCTATCCTGTATACTGGCCTAGGTAGCGCACAAAAATATAAAATTGCCTGTCTGCACACGAATTCTGGCACAATCATGATCTTGCAGGAAAACAATATTCTCCAGTTATGGAATCTTTCCTTCTTGGTTGTCCGGCTCACCTTTCTGAACCTCCATAGGAGACCACACAAGTGGCTCTTATTTACAGCTCTCCCTTAGGAAATTTCCAGTGCTTTATCTTTGGGCATTTCCATTCTCCAGGACTTCTCCCAAGTTATATTCTGTGCCAAGGACTGCTGCTGCTGAACTGTTACTTGGAAGAGCAGATGCAGCATCGGGGCATGATAGAAAAGCCCCAGTGAGCATGATGGTTTTATAGTGCAACCTGGATTACCAGTATTAGTGTGGGGGTTCATATTTGGATAATTCATTCTGCTCTTTCTCACACCTTTTAAAGTATTTTCCTTTTATTTTATTTTATTTATATTTCAGCTTACCCTAAACTTCCCTGAGCCTGAAGATGATAATTTTCCTCCTGTACCACTGTTCTTATCAGTGTGATGCATTGCAAATGCCCATCAGGAACCATGCTTTGGATTAAGGAATACTGAATGAATTAAGGGATACTGAATGAATTAAGGAATACACATTCTGACATATGTGGCGTTGCAAAGTAAAGCACCATTTACAGGTTCAGTCCAGGCAGGTCTTCCGAATGAGCACACCATCTCTCAGAGAGTAAACTGGTCTGGGAGATACTTTTGCCAGAGATTTCTTTCCTCAGATAACAGGATACGTGTTCCAGGGCCGGATTAACCACCATGCTAAGTAAGCCACAAAATGAGTTCCCAGTCAAATTACAGCCTTCCGCCGTGTAATTATTAAGGAGAACTTCTGTGAACAGATTGGGCCTAGCCTGCCTCTGCTACTCTCCTTTCTGGAAGCTACCACAGGCCAAAACAGAGGAGCTGTTTACGACATGGCAGACACTGCGTTTTCTGGCTGGGGAGGCTGAAAAACACCTACAATTTGGCTAGCACAAAGGGCTGATTTATCGGTCCTCTTTCAGTCATGCTGGATTTCCGCCAGAGCTGATATTCATGCCCTCTGAGTACTTTTGTTTGGTTTGACTTAAAAAACAACAGCACTATATACTTGTCCAGACAGGGATTTGAGAGATCTGGGTTCTAGTGCACACTTGGCCAGCTAGGTGATTTTGGGCCGGCCGGCCACTCTCACCTTAGCCTACCTTACAGGGTTGTTGCTTTGAGGATAAAACGGAGAGGAGGATCCCCTTGTGAGCCACCTTGGGTTCCTTGCAAGAGGAAGCAAGACAGGGTATAGTCTAATGTAATATAACATTAACACATGAATATCGTTGCTCAGGCAGAATCTCATATAGCGACCAGGCAGTATTGGGCCTTCTCTCTCTGTTTCTTTCTCTTTCACACACAGGTGTGCACAGTTCAGTTTCCAGTGTTGTTGTTGATGAGCACACTATTATTCCTAATTGTAGCATATTGTGGTAGCCTCAGAGGTTGGAGGGAAGGGAGCAGCAATAGCCAGAACTGCAGTTTGGCCTGCTATAGGGTGAGACAACAGTCCCAGCCCTGTTGGATGTCGAGGATGTTTGGGGGCCCAAGATGGACACACTGGCTTTCTGCACCTCCCTGTGGGAACCGGTGTGTTGTGGTCAGACTATTAGGCTAGGATTTGAGGGACTTGGGTTCCAAGTCCCACTCAGCCATGCGCCCCCAAAGGTGACTTTGGGCCAGCCACGGACTCTCAGCCTAACCTACCTCACAGGATAAAATGGAAAAGATAAACATGAGGATAAATGGAGAGGAAGAGAATCCTGTGTCACGTGACCGCTCAGGTTCCTAGGGGGAAAGGCAAGAAATACATCTAACAAATAAAAATTCACCCAGGGTTGCTGCACAGGCGTACCTTTTTATTTTACTGCAAGCTGCAAACCGGGGCTGGTTTAGCAACAGCTCTTGCCTCTTGCTGCCCGTGTTTTGTCACCAGTGTGGTTCCCTCTCCGATCCCCCAAGACTCCACGTCCTGTTATGCCCATGTTTGGTTCTGCCTGCACCAGGACTCAGAAGTCTCCAGCAGGCTGCAGAATTGCTTGGCGCTGCTTGGGGTCACCCTCATCTGCTTATGGCCCCGGCAGCGTTCCTGGCAGGCTCTTCGCATGTGCTCTGAGAGCGCGTGCTCGCTCTCCCCCTGCCTGCCGGGCTTCTCTTCGCCCCCAAGGCTGGGGCCGGGACTTGGGAGGCTCTTCGGGGAATGCTGACGGGGAGGTTTGGCCACTAATCCGCTGCAGGAATGTTGGCCAGACGGCCAAATTCTTCTCCCCGCTTTTAAAACACATGCAAGTGAGCAACGTGGAGCCCCGCTCGGAGAAGCAGCCTCTTGTTCCTTCGCTGCTGGATAAACCTGCTTCAGGCTGTGCCGCCCTAGTCGGAGGGAAAAGAGGCTTTTCAGCCGGAGCAGCAATAAATACACAGAGGTGCCACCAAAGTGTGGGACAAGGGCGGCAGAACGGCAGCCCTTTCTGCCTTTGTTTAGTGCAAAGCAGAGGACTGGGATCGGTGTTGCGGGGGGTCACTGGCCAAACAGACAGGAAGGTGGCAATACATTCCCACAGCCGCAAAGCTGAAGCATACAGGGCATCTCTCGTCACCTTTGTCTGGTTCTTTGGCCCTTCACGTTTTTCTCAAAGGCCGCCCTTATCTTTTGGTGGTGTTGTCCCGAAGCAGCCTTCCCTGCCCTGTGGTCTTGGACTACAACTCCCATCAGCTCCAGTCAGCATGGCCAAGGCTTGGGAATGCTGGGAGTCGCTATGCCAAATCCTGGAGGACAGCAGGTTGAGAAGGCCATCCCAGAGTTTTGGGGTCCAAGTCTGATATTCATCTGGATGGGTGGGCTGGGTTATGTGCCCCCTGAGCTTATGCAGAATGCCTTCCCCTGACCCCCGGATCACCACAACCCAGCCTTCCCACAACTGGCTTTAGTTTTTAAACCCCAACTTGCTAATCGCTCCATCACGTGTGGCCTCCTTTTCGGCCCCTTTTTCTTTCATGGGGGCAGAATTGTCTTTTGCAGTGTGTTGTATGCAGTGACCTTGAGGCTGTGCTTTATTTTCCCTTCCCTCTTCTTCCCACCCTCTAGAAACGCTGATGGATACGAAGTGGGTGACATCGGAGTTGGCCTGGACGGCTCATCCTGAGACCGGGGTAAGACGTTCCTTTCCCTTAAGGTTGGGTCCGAGAGGGGGTTGAAGCACATAATAGATAGAAAGAGCAACACTATTTTTAAAAATGGGGTGCCTCCTGGTTTCCTTGTGAATTTCCTAAGTTTTGTGAATTCACTTGCAACCCTCAGTATTTCTCAGAGCAAGTGACATGAAGCCCCAGCATTTGCAAGGGGGTTGCCACTGTGAAGGTCCTGAACTCCAGAATGCCTTACTAATCCCAGAGGTTTGGATTTGTAAAATTGATCTAAACAGACATTTAGAGAATTTGCCTTTTGGGGACATCTGGCATAATGACATCTGAGTGATACTTAATATGTTCTTTGTGGGATATTATTAAAGCAGAGTTTCGAACTTGGTGGCTACTAATTTTGTAGCAGTGGCTAGCAAAAGCCTGGTGGTATGTATAGGGAGATGCCTCTTATCTGGAATCCATGTATGAAATGGAAGGAGGAAGAGGAAACAGGCTTACTTTTTCCACTGGGAAACAAGCTTTCTTTGCAAAAATCGCAGGTGCATTTTGGAAGACGCCTGTACATCTCTCGGAAGTTTTAGAGAAATGCCCTGTGGCAAAGGTGCCTGCAGGAGGAGAGAATGTTCTGCCATTGTCTCTGTGCTGATTGGGGGGTGTGGAGCCACAGGACGACATTGGAGAACTCCATAACTATTTATGTGGATGTTCATTGCACCTTCACACTATATAGAGTGACCAGTATACCAGACCCACGATGGGAGTATTTATCAAGAATGTGTTGGTGATAGTTCTTGGCTGGCTTGAATGATAAAATGTTTCACATTTTTATGCTTCAGCTGGGTTTGTATTCCTAAGGGCATCCCTGGATGTTAACCTTTAAAGTCGGAGGACTGTAGATCCCTGGCCAAGGGCAAGAGAATGTGGGGGAGCGGTTGCCCCGTCTTTCTCCATCTTGCAAAAGACATCTAAGTCTTTTGTCCTTGTGCACGAGAAGGAGGGGATGGAGCACCACTAGGATTCCTCGTATCCTGGTGGATCTTCCCTCCTTCTCTCCCCAGCACTGGCCCTGAAGTCACACGTGCAATTTGGCAGCTGCAGCCAGCATGCGAAGGCCCATGTCAGTTGTGTGGGAAGAGGCAGGGCTATTGAAGTTGGAACCCCGGCTCTGGTCTTGGACTGTGTTTCTGAAGTCAGAACAGGGGGCTCCAACTTCTCCCGCGGCTCTCTAGCACAGCCTTCCCCAACCGGGTGGCTTCCAAACACATTTGGGCTGCAACACCCAGACTCCCCAGTCAACGGCCCTGCTGGATGGGAATTCTGGCAGCTGCAGTCCAAATGCCTCTGAAGGTCACCAGGGTGGGGAAGTCTGCTCTAGAGGATTGTATGCTAAGCAATTCAGTTGCTACTGGGCAATAGAATATGAATTAATTAAATTAATAATAATAATTAGCAAGCTGAATGAGATGAGCCACCTCCCTGTGAAGAGCCTCAATGTACCTGTATAATTTTTCTTTTACATTTGCCTTGTTTCCATCCATTCCTGTGAAGAAAACTAAATTGCTTCTTTAAGGACACAGTGAGAGCAAAACTGGACAAGGATCCTACACAGGGCAGCTTCCAGGGTAGATAAAAATAGATTATTTAAAAATAATAATAATTGGATTTTTAAGTTTAATCAGTCTCTGAAACGGTCAAATAAAAGACTAAATTTCTCTGACTTAAAAAAAAGATATCTACAGCTAAATCTCATCATAAACATGGCAAAGCTACATTTATACACCCATGGAAATGAAGTTACCTATCACGCACACATGGCATTAATTCCAATTTTTTATCTCATGAAAATGGCCCTGGCCAGCCCGCCTGTCAGCCCTTGATTCTTGGAACACAGGAATTTATTTTCTCTGATTCAAGTCACATGTACAAAAACACGGCTAGGTTTGTTTTTCCATGCTTATGTGATGGTGGAATTGGGCCAAGCAAAGCAGAGGGGTTAGTTAAAACAGAAAGGCAAAATAAGGCGAAGTGAGATAATAAAATGATGGCTGAAAAATACCGAAATCAGATCTTTTCACAATTCATTTTTTCTCTGCACCATTACTCTCCAACCTGGCTTTACCCTTTCAGTCATGGTTGTTTTTATATGTGTTTTTTGTGATGACTGTAGAGCAAAGCAGAAAAAAACAACACTGGCAGGAAGAAGAGAAGACAAAGTGTCTAGTGTGCATCTTTTTCCCTTTTTTTAGATGCGTGTTGTCGTTGTTTTGGGTGCCGTTTTTTTTTTTTTTTTTTTTTTTTTTTTTTTTTTTTGGGGTCCTTTTTTTTTTTTTTTTTTTTTTGCTTCACTCTCTGTAAGCCATCCAGAGACTTTTTAGTAATTTGGAAAGCATACAAAAATCATAAATAAATAAATAAGGCACCATTAAACCCAGTGGATTTTCTAAAGAATTCATGTATATGATTCTACTATTAAATGGAGACTAGCTTGGGTGCTGGTCATAAAAAACACCCTTTATGATAATATTTTAAAGAAGGTAAAAAGAAAGTGTAAACAATACTCAGAAAATCCTACGGTGTACAACCAGCATAGGCCAGTGTGGTCAGGTCTACACTTTTGTTAAGGAAATAAATGAAAAACTTCCAGTGGGAAACATGATTTAAATCATTGATTTAAATTTATTTATTTATTTGTGATATTTGTATGCCGTCCTATTGCAAAAAGCCTCAGGAAGGCTTGCATAATAAAAATAATAAAAAATAAATCCCTCCTTTAAATAAATCCATAAATAAATCCATCCTTTTTTCTTGCTGATTTAAAACGAGGATTGAATTGGTGAATTTAAATCACCTTGACTTAATTCCGCCCACCCTGCTGACCTAACCCCTCACTTTGAGGGATTCTGCAGCAAGAATGAGATGAATGCGCACATCCTTTCGTGGCATGCACACCTGTACTATAGGCAAGCGTGCAAATGCGCGGACACATACGCATGCCATTCTTCTACAAATAAGTGACAACAGCAGATTGTGCTCTTGGGACTTGCTTCCGCGGGACATCGAAAGCTGCCCTGCGGGTCCTGAGTGACTCTCTTCATTCATAACTTTAGTTTCTGCATGAAGCACAAAAGGTCTCTAGCAAATTGACACAGGTAGATGTTGCCTGGTTTAGTTCTTCGCACGGCTCTCCTTCTCGTTCATTTGCTTTGGTCAGAATTGCTTTTCCATGCCACCTACAAACACTTGACACTTGATGTTTTGTTTGCCAGCCCCACTCCGGCTCCCTAATAATAAAAGCTTTGTATGTGTTCCCATACTCAGCCTTCTTCAGCACATTACTGACCGAGCCGGTTTTGAGATTCTCACCTGCCTCTCCTGTAAGTGCCTAAGAGCCATGCTAAAGGCCTGCCTAGTGCAGCACGTTCACATTATGTTTCCACGTAACTGGCTTCCACAGGCATCCCAGTAAGCAGCGACTGGTACCGTTTCCCCCCATGAATTGGTCTAAATTCCTCTTTAAAGTCTTTGGAGTTGTGGCCGTCACTACAGCTCGTAGCAGCGAATTCCATTGCTTCAGCAATGTCGTGGGTGAAGAAATCCCTCCTTTTGAAGAACATGCCCTAAATTCTATTGCCATGGAACAGGATAGGCCTTATTCTCTTTCGAGAATTTATTCAGGCATTTATGATACTTTTAAAACAATCCATTGCAGCTGTTCCCTGGGCCACAATCAGTTAAAAGAATACAAAATGACAAATGGCACCAGAGTAGATAGAGAGTTCTAAAGCCTCCAGAGTTGATAAATAGAGAGTTCTAAATCCTAAGTCTGCAGCAAACAGTAACTCTCTGGGTTTGCCAGCATTCATATAACTTTCAGTTTAGGCTTCATTTTCCACTGCCCTGAGTCTGAGACAAGGTCACTAATTGATCCTTATGCAGATTAAGTTTTCATTTTGCTCACCTTGATCTTCTAGGGTTCTGTGTTCCTTTTTAATTTTTTTTATTAATTTTACAATATGAAATACAGTTAAAAGAAAAATGTACAATTAAAATGAAAACATGCCATATTAAACATGCAGTTAAAATAATTCATAAAAACACTCTGCACCCCATCATCAGGAACATTGGATATATGTTGAACACTCATTCAAAAATTATTTCAAGAAATTTCCTCCTTCCAAAATTGCAGTGATTCAGATTCTTGAGCCAATTGTCTGTTGTCATGAGTTTTGGTGTTTGTTTTTAGCTCCTAAACAAGCCCTGGTGCTTGAGTCTAGATGATACCGAGTTGGGGCATGAACAGGCAATCTGTCAGCTTTGTAACTTAAACAAGCCACGGTTGGTCGGGGGGGACTTGTGAACCAGGTCATTATGGGACAAATTGGACCATTCATGTGGCTTTTGTGGAAGTATGGCTGTGCCTGAGCAGAGCTGGTAGCTTTGAGTGAAGAATTTGGTATTCTAAGCTTCTCAGATTGAATTTAAAGGGGAAATCCTAAGTTTCTAGTTCTTAAGCTTTAGAAGGCTGTGCATAGCTATATGGGGTTCTGAAGTCTGAGAAGTCAGAGAGTTGGCTAAAGCCCATTCCCAGTGGCTAGGCACAGAGATTTAATCCTCTTCATCTCCCCAGTCATGACTAATGGAACCAAAATAAAGTATTTGCAGTAAGGACAATTGCAGAATAAACAATTCAAGGAAAGAAAAAATTGTGCGAAGTTGCTCTCTTTGCATAGTTTATATAAGGTCTCAAAGCCCACAAGTTGTTGTTCTTTCTTTTTCTTTTTCTTTTTTTGACTGTCTGGTTGCAGACTTAACATGAGCCTGTATGTGAGCCAGTATTTCAGTATCCCTCCCTTTTTTAACCAATTAGTATTACTTAATTTTGCGCAGTGGGAAGAAGTCAGTGGCTATGATGAGGCCATGAATCCCATCCGGACGTATCAGGTGTGCAACGTTCAGGAAGCCAACCAGAACAACTGGCTGCGCACCCAGTTCATCCAACGCCGGGACGTCCAGCGTGTTTACGTGGAGCTGAAGTTCACCGTGCGTGACTGCAACAGTATCCCCAACATCCCGGGTTCTTGCAAAGAGACCTTCAACCTCTTCTATTACGAGTCGGATACAGACTCCGCTTCTGCCTCCAGCCCCTTTTGGATGGAAAACCCATACATCAAAGTGGATACAATTGCTCCTGACGAGAGTTTCTCGAAGCTGGAATCTGGTCGGATGAACACCAAGGTGCGCAGCTTTGGACCCCTTTCCAAGAACGGCTTCTACCTGGCCTTCCAGGACCTGGGAGCTTGCATGTCCCTCATCTCCGTCCGTGCCTTCTACAAGAAGTGCTCAAGCACCATCGCTGGCTTTGCCATTTTTCCCGAGACCTTGACCGGTGCGGAGCCAACCTCCTTGGTGATTGCTCCGGGGACCTGCATCCCCAATGCAGTGGAAGTGTCCGTGCCCTTAAAGCTGTACTGCAATGGGGATGGAGAGTGGATGGTACCTGTGGGCGCCTGCACCTGTGCTGCTGGGTACGAACCGGCCATGAAGGAGACGCAGTGCCAAGGTAAGGGGCGGTTCTCCATTGTGTCCTTGAGACCATCTGGCCGAGGCCCAATGGCTGCATATGCTGCTGGTCCCAGAAGTCTGAGCAGCAGTCCCAGGACCCCTGACCATTGGCCGTGTGGGCGGGAGCTGAGGGGAGTTTCAGTCCGGAGCATCTGGCAGACACCAGCTTGAGGGAGGACGATAGAAACGTCCTGGTGTTCAAACCAGAAAATCCCACTCCGTCTGCCCACGATAAGCCTGGTTGCATGTTGACGGTTCATGCCGTTTCTTTATTTCTAGTTGCCACATTCCGTATAATGCTGGGCAAGCGCCCTGAGGCTGCGGCACTGACCAATCCCACCAGCACTAAGGACTGCTGGAGGACTACAGTAATGTCAGGGGAAGAAGTACTAGAGCTTGAAGGAACCTTCCAGAGAATCCATCCTTTTTTTAATCTTCCAGTCTCAGGCCTACATATCTTAGAGTGCAGTCTTTCTCAGTGTGTGAAGATCAGCTGAGAGAATCGTTTTGGAGACGGAGCAGGGCCTGTTCTGTTTTGGCCCCACCTTTCAGAATTCCCTACTGAGATAAGCATGTCATACATTGCAGGTTTTAAAACACGGGTGGGGAACCTCAGCTGCAGGGTCCCAGTATGCCCCCCCCAGGGGACCCTGGTGGACACACCTTTTCTCCTGACCCCACCTCCTTCCCCCAGCCAACCATGGTTTGGTGATTTTGCAGCTTTTGTGCAATCCTGCCCCCCCCCCCCGCCCCCCATTCTGAAAGGCTGAAATGCCTCTGCTAAGGCTTAGCTTCTGGCAGAAAGCGCTTGAAGCTACAATAGGCTATTTTTTTTTTAATTGACCCACCTCTGCTGCCTTCAGCCTGGCCCACTGCCAGAATGCAGCCCCCCTGTTTTAAAGGAATCGGCAAAGCATTATTTAAATCGCTTTTAAAGATAGGCGTGTGCGCGCAGTTGAATAGATTTCAGAAATGCTGTAAAACATTCTCTCTGTGTTTGTGTATTTTACTTGATGCTGATCTGTTTCAGTGTAGAAGATACCTGAATGTTATGAGTCACTCGGTGCTCTAAATTGGTAGAAAGGTAGAATGCAGTCGGTTGATTTAAATACATGAAAAACCGTTGCACAAAGCTGAGAGCTTCCAAAACTCAGGTCTGCAGAAAAGCTGAAACAAGACTCTGAGGTTCTGTCTTGAGCTGTTCCATCTTAAAGATCACAGTGGAAGGGAACCGAGGCAGCGGCCTTTCACGGTATCTAACACCCCTACTGTCATTCAGGGCTTTATATAATCAAAACCAGCACCTTGAATGATTCTTTGGAAAGATGCCCCAGCTCCAGCTTCAAGGCAGCTTCTCTCTGTGCACATGGAAATAACAGCTCACAAGCACCAGCCCCCTTCCGAGCCTGACCTCCTGGCCTCCCTGCTTTAAAATTAAAAGATCTGTGTTCCTGGATCTCTGCCTTGAAAGCATTAAAGCCTCGAAGGTTTACGCAGGCCTTGTCTAGCTAATATCTTTTGTGGCGGGGTGTCTGGTGGGTGCATCAAAGTCCAGCAGGTCGTTGTCGGTACCTCTGGAAGCAGGTGTTCTCATCCTGCTTTCTTACCTCTCTCTGAACCCAGCCCAGCTCTCCTTCCTCCTGCTAATGGAACGCTTGTTCTGCATCTGGAGGCCACCCCCCAAAGTGTAAATCCAGTTGCTTCTGAATCCAAAAAAGCCCAGTGGTTTCATCATGGCCAAGGTGCCATGAGGAGCAGTGAGTCATGGAGCAGGAAATGGCCTGGAGAATGGGCAGGTGAGGCTGTGAACCTGTTAGAGGTTTCTTCTCTTTAGAGTATCAGTGCGGCACCTACAAGAATTCCTAGTGCCTGCTCTGCTTCTCATGTCTGTCTATTTTGTGCTCTTACAGCAGAGCTAGGGCATAGAGGACAATGTCGAACTTTCCATTCCAAGTTCAGGCCTGCTTGGACTTCCCCAGAATTTGGTACTTGGAGGGAAAGAAGCTGCTGAAAAGTTAGCAGAAGGAAAAGCGATTAAAATGCAGGAGTGCCCAGATGGAAATATCCTTCATGTTTTTGAACTGGCCCGGAAGCTGAATTAGCTAATTTCTATGATTTTCGTTTGGTTTGGTTAGTATGTTTATTTTAATTTTCCAAATAAGGCTTGTTCAGCAAATTTGTTGTTCACGTTTTGTTTGTACAAATGAGGAATGAGGCCAGCTCTGTGTTGTACCCAGGGATGCCAAAGGAAGCCTTTGGCTGCACGCTTTCGGGAACTGGGTACCCACCGTTTGCACCAAAATCCCAGGGGTTACTGTTTGACCCTGAATACCCCTAAAAGAAACTTCTTTGTTTGTTTTTTCCTCTCCAACCAAGCCAGATAGTTTATGTCTGCTATAAACTTGTTGTGACTTTTTTCTAAGCCTTCCGGAGTGAGCAAGCTTGGGCTGCTAAATCAATCACTTCTGAAGAGCCGTGTTGGCAAGGGGAGAGAAATAAAGCATGCCTGCCGGGTGGACTACACCGACAAGTATGCGAGAGTGTTTGGCAGTGGTGGCTGCCAGCCATTGCCTCTGAAGCCTGCAGGGTTTGTGCATATAGGAAGAGAACTTCCGAGAACCTGTGCGTCAGCCGTGTGTGATCCCACCCAGGTTCTGCCACACAGAAATGATGTGGGATTAAGTGCTGGCATTGAACGTTGCTGTCCCTTTGCTTGTGAAGTTTAAATTTTTGCAGACGAGGTGGGAACAGAAGAAAATCTCATTGGGTTAAATCTGTTAGGTTTCCTGCTCCTTCTTCAATAATGACACACCAGTTCCCTGTGACGGTGCACTAGAGCAACACAACAATGGTGTTTGACTTCACTTTTTGTCCTCAGTAGCTGGTATGTTGCATCTCATAGTGAATTTTTGTCATAGCTAAGCTCTGTTGGTGGACCGATTATTAATGAAAACTACTAGCCTTTGCAACATCTTATGGCAACGCGTTCCATAAGTTAGTGATACTTTCGTTTTCCTAATGGAACTTTCTATTCAACTAGATTGACTGGGTTTATGCACATCTGCAGCAAATCTTTGATTAATCATGCCATCATTTGCCAGGTTACATGCCACTTCCACTTAAAATACGCAGTCTTTGAGTGGCTGAACATAGGCTGGTTTGCGATGGGTGAGCAAGGACGCTTTGCGTTCCACGTGGGCAAAAAAACCCGAAGTTGACCTCAGAACTAATAGGGCTGTTAAAGCCACAGATCCCCCATAGTGTCTGGTTCCTGTGTCACGAAGCAACCACTCGTCGGAGTGGAGCTTGCTTATTCTAATTGGAAGCACTTTGTGCCTAGCACACAGTCCAGCAGAGCGCTCAATTTGCCGCCGTTACGTGTGAATGTGCCCAAGGAGGCAGCACCCAACACAGTTCTGTTCTGGTGATGATGACTTGTTGAATGGCTATGATATTGCACAACATTTCCAGGTAAAGACTCAAACGTGAGAGCTGTTCTGGATCAGCCCCAGGGCCTGTCTAGTCCAGCATTTGTATCTCCAACGACCCATCAGATGCTGCAGGAGGCAGTCCCCAAGCAGGACTTGACTATCACGGAATCTTCTGCTGATGACCTCCAACTACTCCTGTGAAGAGGCATACAGCCTCTGATAATGCATAGGCACCATAACCATTGGAAGCCCTCAGCACCATCCTGAATTTGTCCAGTCCCCTTCCAAAGCCATCCTAGTTGGTAGCTGTCACTGCACCTTGTGGAGGTAAATGGAATATGCGCTGTGTGAAGAAAGTCCCTTGATCTCTCCTGAGTTGCTCACCTGAGAGCCCAGTAGGAGGGGCACTCATGCGCCATTCTCTCTACGCCCCGCAGGATTTATGGACAGCTCTGACTTCTTGCAGTCTTCCATCTGGTCTTCCTGGGTGCAGCCGTGCTGTTGGACAGAGCAGTAAAAGGACCATGCCATGTGCGTTCGGTCTGTTCAGTCACGTGCTCACAATTTGGCGGGTGGGCACTTTGCTGGGGAAAACTAGTTCATTAATCAGGCGGGTTCTTGGTGCGGAGCCGATATGAATCTTCATTGCCACCTCGTGCGTTGCATCAGTTAACAGCAACATCAAGAGAAGGCCAGAGTGTGTGTGTCCCCTGGCACTTTTTGGGCTGGAGACCATCCACGTGAGGTTTTCACATCCGTAAATGGAAATGGTTTTAAGGACTTGCCGCAACTTGAGGTTAGCCAGATTTCCTGTGAGTTGAGGTGGGGCTTTGAAAAAAATTCATATACACCTTGGGTAAGTCTGAAATGTTTCTGGCTCTCCACTTAGCCTTTCATTCCATTCTCTTAAGAGGGAGGCGTCTTTCTCATCTGGTTATGCGGCCTTGAAAAACCCTCCCATAAAAGGCTTGTGTGCAAAATTGTAATCTGTAGACCAAACCTTTCCAAGCCCGTCGCTGATGGAGACGAGGCTACTGGGTCCGTGAGAGCCATCTGCTGTAAAATAGTGCTGGTTTTAAAACTGCACTGCAAAGTTTTAAAAATGCACAGTCCTGCAGCAACTTTTCTAGTCTGCATGTTGTTTATAAAATAACGGTTTATCTTACCCTTCCTTCAGAGCCTTCAAGGCAATAGACCTGGATGCAGAAATCTTCCTTGCATGGAAATAGAAATGTGATTCCGACTAGCCAGATGGACACAATTGGCCTCTCTCGAGCCTCCTTTGCTTTATGCTCACGTTGGAGGAAGAAGTAGATTCACAACTGTGACATGGCTGGGAACAAAGACTGCCAGGTTGTGATACTGTGGAGTGTGAGGCTACAGGCTTCAGCCGATGCAGGGAAGCACGTTTCTTGCTGAGCCTCTCTCCTGGAGTCAGACTTTACCCCTCAGAAAAGCTGTCAGCGATAGAATAAATATCATAGCTTTGTTCGGTAAAGGAAACACTAGTTTCACTCCGAAAATACTTTCCCACAGGGTCTTGAGAACGGGGTTTGTGTGGATTAGC